TTAAAAGGTTACTGTACTGTAACCCCCTTGGGGATGCAGAAATAAAGAGTGTGTTGTGCGCCTGCATTTTGAATGCAACCCCCCATGGGGCAGGTGTGAAATATTCCACTTGTGGCCTCATGGTGGCACTCAAAAAGGCTGGAATTGTGGAGCATTTTGGATTTTCCAGTGAGGGATGCTCAGCCTGCACTAGAGAGAAGTCCCTGCCGAGGCTGGTAGGAGGGCATGGAACAAGCCAACCACACTCTCATGTCCTAGAGTTCGGGCCCGTTTCCTCTTGGTTTGACACATATAGAACAACGGATCAGTTGGGGACAGGCTTAAAATAGCCCTTGGAGACTGTTGTTAAGTCGTCCCCAAACCACTTCCCCTTTCATTAATTAAATGACATTTTAGGATGCCCTGCCGTGCCAGTGCTTCCTGGGGACTCTTGGCAGAAGAGTCAAGGATGGGTGTGCCATAGAGAATCATGGGGCCAGGGAATTGCAGAACAGGGAGACCATATACTCCAACCCCCTCTGTGTAGGGGAGAAACTGAGGCCTCTGCCCTTCCCCCTTTTGATGCTGTGTGGGAAGGAAATTTTAAAGGACTTATTCTAAAAATCTGGGGGAAAACAAAAGAAAGTTGAATAACAATGTGAAAATCGGATCCCATCCAAAGGGCCCTGTTTGTTTTTATTATTTGTGGCTCTCTCCTGTGAGCTTCCTTCTCAGCCATTTGTCTGTTCTCAATCCGGGATCCCTTCTAGACAGACTCCTTTAAAATGTTTGGAATCTTCCTTCTTCCTTGAACAGGCTAGGTCTCAGTATCATGAGCATGACCCTTACCAAGAAATCAACAGATCAGCCCCATATGGAGTAGAAGGTTCCTGTCTTAAACGCTGACTTCTCCAGGTCCCTGCCACCCAGCCCAGTCAGGGCCCAGAAGAGCTTTCATCCAGTGCAGGAGCCATTTTCAGGAAGGACCCTCTCTCAGGGATGTGCCCAGGTGTCTGCACAGGTTGCTGTCACAGAGCTGGCTCCCTTTTGGGAGCAAGGTTTCAGGATGTTGCCTCTGACCCCAGTCCTAGGAATAGTACCAGGAGCACTAACTCAGATGTTGTTTTTTTCTAGGTTCCTTCTGACCAAGGGGACATGGCTCTGAAGATGATGAAACTGGTGACTCAGCAAGAATAGGGTGAATGGGGCTGGAGATGAGCTGGTTTGTTTGGCCTTGGGGCACAGAGCTGAGCTGAGGCCTCCGAAGCTGTAGGAAGCTGAAGCTTTAGGAAGCACCATTCTTCCCTGTATCTACCTGAGTGATCAAGAAGGTTCTGACCAGTTGCCGCAGAGGATAAAAATCATTGTCTCTGGAGGCAATTTGGAAATTATTTCTGCTGCTTAAAAAACCTAAGATTTTTTTAAAAAATGGATTTGTTTTAATCAAAATGAAGGATGATAATAGATTATTACTTTTTCTTATGACAGAAGCAAATGATGTGATTTATAGAAAAACTGGGAAATACAGGTACACAAAAAATAAATCAACACCTGTATACCCCCTTCCCAGGGTTACCAATTTAGCATATGTCCTTGCAGATTTTTTTTTTTTTTTTGCTATATATACATATATATTTTTTACCAAAATGAATCATTACTGTATGTTGTTTCACTATTTGTTTGACATATCAGTATATCCAAAACACCTTTTCATGTCAATAAATGTTCTTCTATAACATTTGTAATGGCTGTGGAGCATTCTACTTTATGGTTATACGCTAGTTTATTTACAAAATTCCCAATTGCTTCCGACAAGTATAATAATTTCTAGTTTGTTGCTATTATACACAGTGTGCTCTGTTGATTCACCCTGATAGTTAGATTTTTTGTACCTCCTTATTTTCTTAGAATAAATTCATAAAAGTGTAATTATTTAGTCCAAGGATTGCCACATTTCCTTAAAATCAAAATAATTAGCTCAGGACTTTTAACTTTTTATTCATAGCTCAAGAGCTACATAAGAAGGTTCGACGCCATGGCTCACACCTATAAACCCAGCACTTTGGGAGGTCGAGGCAGGAAGATCACTTGAGCCCAGGAGTTCAAAAACAGCCTGGGCAACGTAGGGAGACCCCATTTCTACAAAAAAAGTAAAAACATTAGCTGAGCATGGTGGCACACACCTGTAGTCCCAACTACTCGGGAGGCTGAGGCAGGAGGATCACTTGAGCCAGGGAGGTTAAGGTTGCAGTGAACCATGATCAAGCCACTCACTGCAGCCTGGGTGACAGAGAAACGCCCATCTCAAAAAAAAAAAAAATCTGCGTCGGGGATCTAACAGCTTCTAGAACTGTCTGAAAGAAATACCACCTCTTGTAGTTGCAGGGCTGATGTTTTATTTATGTATGTATGTATGTATTTATTCATTTGAGACAGGGTCTCACTCTGTGACCCAGGCTAGAGTGCAGTGGCACAATCATGGCTCAGGTGATCCTCCTGCCCCAGCCTCCTGAGT